CTTTGGATTGGAAATAAATTTGTGCCAGGGTTTCTTGAAACCTCCTGTCACCCTCTCGCAATGATTTTACACAAAGGTTTCTCAACATGATATAGTTATTCCAAGTGTCTATGATCGGACAACTTTTGAGCTCTCTCCAGGATAAATTCCTCTGTGACATCCATTCCCTGGTTCAACCACGGATAGGTGATAAACATGTAGGCGGCGTAACGATACGCTTGGCGTTTGTGGCGACCGTTATCAGTTCTGTTAGGGGGTCATTGAATCTTTTCCAGGACTCCAGTGGATCCAGCTGCTCTTCTGGTTGTCTATTGGTTGAAAGCAGCAGCTGCTTGTGGTCAATAACGGTACACGTGTTGGTTGGCAGGCATATTTCTATTGTGGCGTGGTAAATGTAATCGAAAAGCAGAACTGCACGGTGGCTTCGTCCTAATGGAGACAGTATTTCGGCCGATTCCATCATAAGCTCCTCGGTTGTCAATACCCAGTCCAATATTGATGTTTGGTATCCTCTTCCACATCTGGTGGGATCCTTCATGTGATGATACGTCGGATGTGAGTCCACAAACTGTGATAAATTTCGCTCGAATGGATGGTAATAGTTCTGTTTTTTTATAATGAAACATTTTGTTATATGTATGCCAATTCACCGATACCGTTACCGTTATTTCAAATGAATAAATCTTCTTCCCGGCACCGTATTGTGGATTTATCACACTACGACAATGATCATTATTACTAACTCAAAGGTTTGACGGCTTCGGATAAGTAACAAGGTGACATCCGAAAGGACCACTGGTTTAGAGCAGTCCCAATCAACGAGAGAGAGAGTTGTATTAGGGGACTCTCAAGTCTTTTCTTACTATTGGTTGGTCGTGCGAATAGCACTACATTACTAGGATATAAAATTGTTCCGTCGTGACACATCTGTGAGTGGTTTGAGTAATATTTGGAGACACTGGGTTCGAAAATAAAAACGGGTCAGTAATCACATACAAGATCTTACCTGCCAAAACAGATGGTGTTATAAATCATTGCAAAGAAAAGGTACCAGTGAAACGAGGAGCAGTTCTATTGTTTGGCGAATTGTATGATACAATTCAACAGGTCATAGAAACTGCAACTAAAAAGTTCCTGATGTGCTATCCAAACACATTTACATGAAAAATTGAGATTCGGTTGAAGGATTTACTTTTATATCAATTACCATGGTTAGAAAGGCACCTAAATTTTCTTATCGTTGTCATCTACGACGATCGATCCCCACTACTTGACCCCAGCAGTGTGACTAACTGGATTGAACGAAATATTTTCATCTAAACAGTCATACAGAGGACATTACAAAAAAACAGAGGGGTGAACCAGCGATTCGTTATCATACCAATGGGTCGGGGCATATTCGATTAGATGAGAGTAGTGGAGAATATGATATGATTATTTGATGAATTCGTCCAGTAATTAGGCAAGCTGAAAATCTAAAAAGTACTGGACGACTTGGTTGGATCACATCAACATTGAGAACCCATCGACCCAACTGGGGATAGAATGCATGTAACCACTCGGACCCTGGACAGCGATTTAGACCATTTTTTAATTGGCTTATGCACGATATAGCACAACACACCTTCGAGAGCTTAATGTGAACATCAGGTTTCGCGCATCATACCATCCAAGGTTATGATGTGGATCAAAACATTCACAATTTGATTAAATTTACACGACGAATTCTTCATACAGTCAAATCAAATCCTCCGCTACTCTCGTGGAACATGTATTCAGATTGTAAAGGCAATTATGTGCTTTGACTCCGGTAGCCTCAAGGTATTGTGCCCACAAATGACCATGAGCCGATTCTCCTTCCTTAAAAATCGGTATATTATCATTTACCAAAGTGAAAAACAAAGTACACGTTTCAGATAATCTTTTATGCAGTTGCATTGCGAAGGAGGGGTTGGTACGAGTTGCACACCATACCTTCTGTACATTCAACGGAGGAAGCATGTTCTGGAACATGTCGACCACAAGTCGTAGGTGCGGTGGTGGCGGTTCCAATTGTCTGGGACCAGGCGCATCTGGGTAGAGTGCTCCGAAACCGGTCATCGCCAGCAACGGAGGAGTGCGAACCTGATGTGAATCGAACACTCGCCGAACCAAAGTGATCACATCTCTTTTCAGACTATACTCAGCCACGGAAAATGTAAGGCTGGGTCCATGTGGAACACGCACGAGATGTAGATACACCCCTCCGGTGGATGATTTCACTGGCTCAGCGGCTGCAGGATCCGTTTGATTTTCCTTGTCTACCAGTATGGGGGTTGATAAATGAACAATAAAAAAAAACAATCTCATTTACATTCAAGAAAACGTAAACCTGAATGCGAATGAAGTTTAAAGTCTCGCCTTCTAACAGACTGTAAAACGCTGGGATAGATAAAACCGCATCAATTAGAACTGGAGACCGAAAAGAACGAATCTGAGTGGCTGTTAGTCACTCACCAGTAAGAAGGGAAGTAACAATGGAGATGTATTCAGTTCATGACTTCTGGTCAGTAGTGGCACAGTTGTTTAGTCGCTATCATCGTCGTGTTTGGACCCTATAGTTCGTGGTTCGAGCCTCGCCACAGCCACACGACTTTCGTGGTAGACAGCTTTGCTTTCGTCCTATTCAATAGCACGCCTAACCTAGCGGGGCCTAATGTGACTAACCACTTCAAGTCCCGGGGCTTAGGTTACCGGTTTCCCAGAAAGACAGGTCCTAACCACTATGAAGTTTGCCCAACCTACGGTCCATCACACAAAGATGTGTAATCAAAAAATATAATCTGAGAATCCGAGGCCACCGTTGGAAAAAACGGGAAAACAAACAACACCTATTTCAACAGATTTGTACGCATTGGGTTAATGAGGTAAAGTTTAGATTTGACAGATAGAAAGGTGACCTAAATCCAAGTGAGTTACTGCAAAAAAAGACTAACACATTGCAGGTCACACTTGGTTAGAGCTGCAATCTCTACAAAAAAACAGAGGAATGTGGGGAAAGACTCTCATTGATAAGTCCTCAAGAATGTTGGACGATTGGCTAGCGAGGAAAAATAGAGAGACATGCATTGCAGATACCCACGCCGTTCCAGTTTCGCCAAAGAAAACTGTTTGACGCATTCTGCTGCATATGTAAGTGTTCATGAAGATGGATTCCTCACTCAGAATAGATAATTCATTCAGTACGAAGGAAGCTTTCAAAGCACGATAAAACTGTTGCAACTAACTAACTAGAAAACATCAGCAACCGCTGGTTACATATTTAAATGATATTTGAGCTCGGGAAGGAGGGATAAATTGGAGGAGCTAATCAGCTAAGCTATCTGCTTTGGCATTTGGCAGCTTTTTTATTGAGACACCAATCTGAGGTGCACAGCAGAGGGGGAGGATCCCATAGTCCCGAAGACCTACTGTGCAGTGATGGTACCCGGCAACCTAAGCCCCGGGAATTGGAACCACATAAGGTCATGCTAGGTTAGGCGTTGTATTGAACAGGGGGTTGGCAAAGCTACCTATCATCAAAGGTGGAATCTCAACTTTCTTCGAATGATGGATCTCTTTCAATATAACCCTCAAACCCGGCATCCTGCCTAAAAGTTTAAAAGGTAAACCAATGTACAGGATTATTTCTATCAACATATCAATTCGAACTAATCAGCAGAAGTAATAAATAGCTCATAATTTCAGTTGCTGTCTCGCACTCAAAGGGACACATCACTACAAGGTTCAATAAATTACGACGCATAATCCAGCCATTACACTCACCCGATAGAGATTCTGTATTATCGATCTTTAGATCCACGGCTCTTTTTTTGGCCAGCTGTCTCTGACGTTTCTCAGTTCGTTTGTCCGCATGTGGATGAGTCAAGTACAGCAAGTGTGTGACATGCAGCGGACCGGCGACAGCGATAAAATCTTTCAATACATTTCGTTTGTGCGTTTTCAGTCGGGTTGCTGTATACGGTTCGAAAATGGCACGCAAATCGAGAGCCAACTGTTTGACTAAGGTACCCACACCGGGGCGAGTGAAAATGAAACTGTGTGGATCTTTGGAGTAGATACGTTCTTGACGCGCAAGCGCGTTGG